CTCTTTGCCTTTTCACCTTTTCGGTTGGCCTTTGTCAACAAGATTAGGTAGATATGAAATTAAAATGTTCTATTGGACTTGTGAATTCATTTGTTGTGGAAGATCAACATTTCAAACTCAATAATTGGATTTTTTATAACGAATTAAAAATATCAAATAGACTCGTACACAAAAAGATGCCGTGTTTTATCGGCTCAATTCAAATACTATTTATCTACAAAAAAAAATGATATAAATAACGATGGTCCACGAATAGTATCGAAATGAAGGACAGGTGTTATCGGGAAGGATCTGATTAGGTTGGGGTGTTTTGAACTTTCAAAGACGAATCTTACGAAGAAAAAAGAGACAGCTTTTTTACTCCCTCACTCACTTATCGTCGTGAACTCATTTGCTGTATTATCTTCTCTAAATTTCTTCAATAAACGACAATCATCATCAATCTCGGCACTGAATACATTCATCAATCTATCACAAAAACCCCAATTAAATTTCTCTCTTACTACTCTGACTTATGCGTTTTTATAACAAAGAATATCAAACATAAATCAATATATATCTTTAAAACATATCCATAGTTTAAAAAAACATATTCTGAACCTGTAAATATAACCAACAGCAACACAAAAAAAAACAAAATCGTTGAATTGTCATAATAAAACATGTCTTGAGGTCAAAAGAGAGAATGTAGTATCCTTTGGTAACAGATGCAAAATCTCAGACTTGGAATCAACGAGATTCCTTCATCAAAAATACAACAACAAAAAACAAGAAAATGAAGATGGTTTCTCACCAGTTGCTCCGGTGATTCTCGTTGTGGCTGGTGTCAATGCTCACTGTTCATCTTGAGATTCAAGAATAAATCCCCGAGTGCGGATTCACAAGCTGTTTGACCATCAGGTCCCAAACCCTTGAGGAGAGACTTGGCAAGCTTCAACGAAGTGACCATTTGAAAGATCTTGCCACAGGATTTTCGCACCTGCGCTCGCCTTGCTTGCTTCTCGGGCATCTTTGCAACGAGCTCTTTAATCAAACAACTCAGTTTCTTCAGATGAGTCTTCATTGTTTCCTTTGAATCTTCTTGGCTGTTTTCGTTTAAAGGAACCAATGATCTTAGAGTTTCAGTGATCAAATCAAGAGCTTCCACTCTACGGAATTCAACCTTTGCATTCCCGCTTTTGTCCAGAAGAAACCCAAACAGTTGGTGTGCAATCCACTGTCTCCTTCTAAACACTTCCTCAAGAAACTCTATCTTCATTTGAGACTTCTTGGTATCAAAATACCCAACAAGGACACTCCGAAACACATCCAACACCTTCTCCAGTTCAGTTTCTGAGAATTTTCTCGAGTCGATTATCTTCAGAACCCAGTAAGTTGAGTTCTGGGCAAGGTTAGAGATCAACTTGTGTCGGTTCCACGCAGCTGACTGCTTCTTCTTGGAAGGATCAACCCCTGACTTCTTACTCTTGAATGGTTTTGCCGCCAGTTTTAGATTCTTCTCCAACAAAGAAGTAAGTGCAGGCAATTCGATAGACTCATCCTTGGGAATCTCTTTAGCCTTGAAGATCTTCTTCTGGATGATACCCCATATACGCTGTAAAAGCTGCAGACTGCTTTCTGCAGTGCTTGGGTTCACAACTGCCTGAGCTAAGTTTAAGTACACTGTCATAACTTGAGGATTACCTGTTAAAACATCACCACAAACACAAAGCACAGAACTCAGTAGAGAAGAATTTTGTGCATTCTATCATTGCCAAAACATTATCTAAACTTACCTGGATTTTCATGGAGGTAGATTTCAAGCAGGGAGAGGACACGGAGTTTAAACAATACAAGCTGGGACTGAGCAGTTTCGCCGCCAGCTTGATTCCTCTTCTCCTTAAATATCTGGGCTAGGTAAGTGTCCATGCGGAACATAG